GAATTACAGTGCGCGCACATGTTAAAGGCTGGATGGATGAAGACGGAACAAAAGAATGGCTGGAAGAAATTTGGAACAGACGACCAGGAGCAGCCTTAAAGAAAAAACCATCATTGCTAGTTTGGGATATGTTCAGAGCCCACACATCTGATGACATAAAAAAATTGGCAAAGTCTTCTCAAGTTACTTCGGCCGTTATTCCAGATGGGCTTACATCTGTATTGCAGCCCCTAGATATGTGTTTAAATAAACCTTTCAAAGACCGTGTGCGAAAGAGGTGGCATGAATGGATGTCATCTGGTCACCCCCGACAGACAAAAGTTGGGAATCTGATGAAGCCCGACATAGAATTGATAGCAAAGTGGGTTCGTGATGCATGGGAAGAGATTCCAGAGAACATTGTGCGACGCGCCTTCAAGAAATGTGGCATTAGTAATGCTATGGATGGCAGGGAAGACAGCGCTTTGTATGAGAACGATTGCAGTGATGGTGATGACTACGAACTCAGTGATGATGACAATGTCTATCCTGATAACCTCACACCAGCTACAGCTAAAGCTCTGTTTGGACATACAGATGATGAGGAGGAATCCAGTTTTTAAGGGTTTTAACTCTTTTAGCTTAGTTGCTGATTGAGCTAAGGTTTTTGTACTGTTAAAGTTATTGTTGTGACCATATTGTTTTTGTTGACCCTCTTTTCCCATTACTGCGCTAGTTTACTGTTTTTCTTTGAAAGCAATATTAAAAAACATTTAACCTACTGATGCCCCAATTAATGTAATTTTATTGGTATCAATTTTTATTTTTGAAATTTACCAGTAGCTGCTTCATTTCCCAACCTAGGCTTATACTCGAGTCAATCATTTGTTTGTGGTAAAATTAGGTGCCTTGGCTAATATTCGGGTCGGCTTATACTCGAGTATATACGGTAATTATTATAAGCATGCCCTTCAATTATATGCTGTTCCATCATTCCACATTTTAGGATCTGTATCTTAAAAAAAGAGGCCACAGGCACTAAGCACTGTGGCATATATGTATGGTGGCAATAGAGGGTTAATAGGTCAGTGTAAGTTCATGACCCCTGATCATCTTGTTGGGTAGAGTGGGACAAGTAGCTGGGCAGATTAGGTGACAGCTGTTGCTGGGGACAAGAACTGGCTGATGATTGGTTGCTGTCAGTGAGCCAGAAAAAGAGCGGGAAACCAGGTAAGTATAAAAGGTGACAGTGCAAGGCAATCCCTGTCAGCTGTCTTTTCTACAGGATGGGAGAAGCACCGACGGACACCCAGCACCTTACCTGCTCCAGCTGCAGCATGTTTGCAGAAGAGCTGATGTCCCGGCTAGGAGAGATCCTGCGTTCGCCTGGAGGGAATCCTGGTTAAGGGACAGCCTAATCTCGGCGTCAGGCTTACGGCGCTGATAAAGAGCCTCCGGTAGCAGCATCCTACTGAGCAAGCTGCTCCCGACGTCTGACTGAGGTTCCGACCAGAGTCACGTCGTACACAGCTGGAAAGAGGCGCGCTTATGCGCGGCACCGCCTGGGACACCTGCTGACAGAAAAGGAGAAAGCATGCCAGTTAAGAAATTGGCTCCAGAAGTAAAAGAAGCAGCTCCTGGAAGAAGAAAAGGTGTAAAAGATGCCTGCCTTCCTCCCCTGTGCCTATGGTGGGTCAGAGTAGAGTTGAGGGCTGGGCTGAAGACATCCTGACAAGAAGGGAAGAAAGTTCGGATGATGGGAGAGCGTGTCATCGAGACAACATGACAGTCCTGGAAGAAATGGAGGCGCGAGGCAGAGCTGGTACTTCAGGTGGTGAGTATGAACAAAACACTGCTGAACTAGCCAAGATTAGGGAGGCGTTGGTAGCGGTCACTGGAATGGTAAAGGTCTTTACAAAAGTACAGCTCAGGCTTTCAGGGTAGTTGGAGTAGTAGTTCAAGGATTTATTTAAGGAATATTGTAGCAAGCATTTGTATTTTCTTATTCGTAATGGGAGAGAAGAAGCCGAAGTTATGTAGCGGGCCTTTCCAGCATGTGGAAGTTATATTAGAGGCATTGGAGAATTTTGTTGGCTTGCTATTTGGTGGTTAATAAAGTTAAAGTTTGTAAAAGTTGGTGAACCATTTGTTATATGGTTATGGTTACTTACAAAGCTATGGTTACAAAGTTTTGGTTACAAGGTTTTGGTTACAAGGTTTTGGTTACAAGGTTTTGGTTACAAGGTATTGGTTACAAGGTATTGGTTACAAGGTATTGGTTACAAGGTATTGGTTACAAGGTATTGGTTACAAGGTTTTGGTTACAAGGTTTTGGTTACAAAGTTATGGTACAAAGTTTTGGTTGTATGGCTTGGTTTACCTATGATGAACTTTAAAAAACAAACAAAAAAAAAACGGGCCGTCCACTCTTCCCTAAATGGGGAATGAAGGATGTTGGCCTTTGACTGAACTGATGCTTAAAGTTTGTCAGTTAAACCAGCAACTAATGTCGGTACTTATAGTACAGTAAGAACAATATTATTATGGAACTCTTATTAAAAATAAAATATATATAATTTCATTGGTACTTTCTACTGAAAGTACTCATATTGTTATTTAGGACTCCAGGCAGCTGAAAGGCTGCGTCCTTATCGGTAGGTGTACCCAAACAAGGAGAGAGCTAAGTTATTGGTTCAAGGTTTTGCGGAAGGTTTTAAGATTCCAAGGTTTTATGGTCCAGGTTGTTCAGTTGTTAATAATTTTAAATCAGTTTTGCAGGATGTTGAATCTGTTAGCAAATTTACAGTCCTCCTTGCGCTAATTTCGCCTTTCTACTTTAGGTTTAATTCCCCCCCCTTTCTACTTTAGGTTTAATTAGGTTTAATTGCCCCTCTGGTGCGTCATTACATGACGAATTTGACAAGGATACATGCTTAGTGTCCTACGCATAATGTGATGATGTACTCAGAGAAGAGAATGTGGACCGGGTGCACTGTTGTCTGATGGTGGACATGGAGTCAGCCTATGGGTTATTAACAGGGCCGGATTAAGAGCACAGTGGGCCTGGTGCTGACAATTATGATGGGCCTAATTAAGGAATCTTATCGACCAAAAACACTAAAACAATCATACCTCCCAAGCGTCATGTATCTGATGGAGATGGTGCTGGAGGGAAACTCATAGGATGCAGCTATAAGAAAACACATACTCTATGCTAATTTATCTCTAATTTATGCTTTCATCTTTCAAGTAAATCCATAACCCCTAACAGCAGTGTCCAGTGAAGCAGGAAGTCAATGGGCGGGGTAAAAGGGTGTGCCACTGGCGCAATCACGTGACAAGACCTGCCAAAAGGGGTGAACATGCCCAAAAAGGGGGCATGTTTGTCCAAAGAATTGGAAGGTCAGCCTGGCATGAATGCATGTCAGGCTGCCTGCCAATTCTGCAGGCTGTCCAACTAAGGGCATATTATGCAGGCAGCACCTTAAGCTTGACATAAATGCGTCTAATGATGCGCTTACTCCATTCTTTCTAAGGACTGTCCCCTAGCACTGGCTGGTCCACTTGTCTCCTTACCGTCTTACTAGCAGGCAGAAGTTCCTGGTATAGTCTGAGACAGAGAAAAGGTGTCTGTAGTGAGTGTAGAAGAAAGGGGACATGCCACAGTGTTAGAGAGACCAATGTCTGCATTACCTAAAATAACTTTAATGTCAGCCAGTGCACACAAGTTTTGTTCCCATACATCCCTCTTAAGCTTCCAACTTAACGGGACACTATAGTCACCAGAACAACTACAGCTTATTGTATTTGTTCTGGTAAGTAAAATCATTCCATTCAGGCTTTTTGCAGTAAACACTGTATTTTCAGAGAAAATAACTCCACGGGCCGCTCCTTAGATGGCTGCTAGAGGTGCTTCCTGGGGCAGTACTGCCTAGTGTGCAGCACTGCCATTTAGTGTCTCCACCCTCTGCATGCAGACACTAAACTTTCCTCATAGAGAGGCAGTGATCCAATTTATCTTTATGAGGAGATGCTGATTGGCCAGGGCTATGTTGGACTTGTGCTGGCTCTGCCCCTGATCTGCCTAGTTGACAGTCTCAGCCAATCCTATGGGGAAGTATTGTAATTTGCTCAGACCACCACTTCTGAGCCAGCAGCTGCAGAATTGAATACAAGTAATATTTTACTATATTTAGGGAGGCAAGAAGGGGCCAGGGTGGTGGTTTTAACATAATAGGGTAAGAAATACATGATTGTGTTCCTGACACTATAGTGCTCCTTTAAGCAAGAGTATGTGAAGAGTAGTTAAGGTTGCCACCTTTCTTGGAAAAAAATACCAGCCTTAATCATTTGTATAATTAATTAGTTATGCGTGACATCACATGATGTAAATCACAAGGAGTGACATCAGAGAAAATTCTGTAAAATCACCAACAAACTACTCACAGTTTGATTCTGCTGTATAGATGAATTGCTCCCAGTGTCTCCCTGTCTCCCAGTGTCTCAGTCTCGCAAGTCACCCAGTGTCTCAGTGTCCTTATGTATCACAGTGTCAGTGTCCCCATTTCTCCCAGTGTCCCCATTTCTCCCAGTGTCCCAATGTCTCAGTGTGTCCCCATGTCACTAGGATACTGGGGACACTGAGAGACATGGGGACACTGGGAGACATGGGGACACTGAGACATTTAGGGAAACTGGGAGAAATGGGGACACTGAGACACAGACACTGGGAGACATGGGGACACTGAAACATTTGGGGACTCTAAGACACTAGGGACACAGACATGGGAACACAGACACTGGGAGACTAGGGGACACTGGGAGACTAGGGGACACTGGGAGACTAGGGGACACTGGCTGGGAGACAGACACTTAGGGACACTGGGAAACATGGGGACAGTTGTGGACATAGACATGTGGACACTGGGACATATAGGGACACTGGGAGACATGGGGACACCAGACACACTGAGACACTAAGAACACAGACACTGGGAGACATGGAGACACTGAAACATTTGGGAACACTAAGACACTAGGGACACAGACACTGGGAGACTAGGGGACACTGGGAGACTAGGGGACTGGGAGACTAGGGGACACTGGCTGAGACAGATACTTGGGGAGACATGGGGACAGTTGTGGACATAGACATGGGGACATTGGGACACATGGGGACACTAGTCACACTGAGAGTCTCGCAAGTCACCCAGGGACACTGAGACACTAGGGACACTGGCTGGGGGACATAGTGTCTCCGTGTCCCAATGTCTCCCAATGTCCCTATGTCTCACAGAGTCCCCATGTGTCTCAGCATCCCCATGTATCCCCTAGTGTCTCAGTGTCCCCAAGTGTCTGTGTCCCCAGGTCTCACAGTGTCTGTGTCCCCATGTGTCCTAGTGTCTCAGTGTCCCCTAGTGTCTGTGTTCCCATGTGTCCCCTAGTGTCTGTATCCCCTAGTGTCTGTGTCCCCATGTCCCCAAGTGTCTCAGTGTCCCTTAGTGTCTCAGTGTCCCTATGTTTTCCAGTGTCCCCAAGTGTCTCAGTGTTCCCAGGTCTCCCAGTGTCTGTGTCCTAGTGTCTCAGTGTCCCCTTGTGTATGTGTCATCATGTGTCCCCTAGTGTCTGTGTCCCCTAGTGTCTCAGTGTCCCCATGTGTCCCTGCTGCCTTTCCCCCCATCCCTCACTTACCTGAGCTGTACAGCTGCTGTCTGGACTCTCTGTGCTGTGTTGCTGCTCCCCCATGGGTCAGTGAGTAGTAGAAAGAGGCAGGGATATTCTGTAACTTCCTATCCCTGCCTCTCTCCACACCCCTACTGGCCAGTGCTGGTATTGCAGAGTAATTTCCATTTGTTCTGAGAAAATTACCTGCATTTGTTCTGCCGGTATTACTGCAATACTGGCACGGCCAGGCATCCTCAAATACCATCTGTGCCATTAAAATACCAGTCAGGTGGCAAACCTAAGAGTAGTGTGTTTTTTTTTTTTTAAATGGGCCTATTCCATGGGCCTGGGCCTGGAGCTGCAGCTCCATCAGCCCCTATGTTAATCCGGCCCTGGCTATTAACGTTGCATCCAGAGGGTTTCAATTTGTTGGGATTTTCATTCCTTGGCAAGTTTTATTTTAATGAAAGTTTGCCAATGGGCTGTTCTGCATTCTTAGAATAAGTTGTTAATGTGGAGACCGGTTTATATTCTATTGTACAATATCGGGATAACTTTGTTTATTGGTCCTAGTTCTGTTTCTGAACATGTTAGGTTGTTAGAGTTTTTCTGTAGTTTAGACAAAAAAGACATTGCGGCCAGTGGCAAGTCTTCAGTTTTAGGGATAACAATTGTTTCAGTGCTTTTGAAGGTAAACGGATGACGAAAGCAACAGTGAAGCAGTTCAGTCAATGATTAGGCCTATAGACAATTTTGTAGGCGAATGGCGCTGGCTTGTGTTAAAAGAAAATCTGTTCACTGTTGTGTAAGGATTTCTGCAGAAATTAAGAAAGACTCGAAAGTGTGGGGGCATTTTCTGCAGCAGTGCAATGGTTGTTTATTATTAATGCAAACTGAATTTTTCAGGATAAGGAAGATTTAGAATTATTTGCGGATGCTGCGGGGTCAGTCGATTTTGGCATATTTAGGACTAGAAAGGGGCCTTTGCTCAGTGGTCAGATAAATGGGTAGAGCAAGGGTTGACCAGGAATGTAGCCCCCTTTTGGAATTGTTACCAATTGTAGCAGCAAGTTTGGTATGAGAAAAAGAACTGCAGAATAAACGAATATTGTTCCACTGCGACAATAAGGCAGTTGTACAGGTCTTTAATTCTATGCATTCTAAAAGATGCTTTGTTATTAATTTGTTGCGAAATCTAGTATTGTTATTTTGAAACATAATATTTGGTGGAAGGCTGTGCATATTCCGGGTATTGAGAATAAGATAGCTGATGTTATCTTCGTTGCCAGCTCTACACTTTCAGGAGCTTAGTGCCGGATGCAGAAGAAAAGAGCGTGGAATTGCTGAAAGGCTCTTGGCAAGTCATATGGGAAGAGCCGGGCAATTTCACATGAAGGCACTTGCACAGGGCATGTGGAGTGCTTACGTGTCAGCATGGAATGAAGGGTATAAATTACATACGAACTGATCCAGTAGGTTGAAATATAGAAGCTGCATTTTGTGGTTCATTGTATTAGCAGTGGTATAGCAAAGCTGGTAACAAATTTGAGGTTGTGGGTAGACCAGTAGTGGTGCATTTGTAAGTAAACAGTTGTTAAAAGGTTATTTTAAAAACGCTTCGTATGGCTGATGATAGTCAGCCCGTAATATATTCAGTGTTGGGAGAGCTGCTTGAAGTTTTGAAACACTGTTTGCCATTCGCAATTCAAAGTAAATTTGTTTTCAGCAGCACTTTATTTAGCCTTTTGCAGCACTTAGGAGTTGGTTATCTTGCAGTAGATTTGGACTGTCAGGTTTCGGTTTAAGAATGTGTTGAGCACGGACGCAAAGGTAGATGTTGGTTGCAATCTTAAAACCGATGAATTTGAAAAGGCTGATGGTTTCATTTGTCAGGTATCGAAAAAAGCAGAGT